GACGAGCGCCAACAGCGCGAAACGCGTTCGTGGATGGCTTTTCTTGATTTATCAAGAAATTGGGTTGGCCAAATATCACGGAGCAAGCTAAATAAACGTTTAGTTTATTCTTGCTCCACTAGATGGCGCTCTGCCATCTAAAAAGCACATGTGCTCGTGGTCAGGAGATGCCTTCTTTATTTTTAATATATATATATATATGTAAATAGATGTATATTATGTATACATGCATGTATGCATACTTACACACATATGCATACATGTATACATAGATGTAGATATATGTAAATTTAAAATTTACAATTTAAAATTTGTATTAATTTATGCCTAACTGGCCTTGTCTTTATTGTTTGCGGAAGAGCATTGCTCGATGCAAATATTTGAATGTAATTCTACTGTCCTATAAGCTTATGTCTATAGTTTTCTTGAAAACCATTTCCGAGATTCCATCCTTCAGTGCTTCGTATATAAGCAGAATCATCCAATACAGTATTAGAGCTCTGAGAAGCAGTCTGGTGGATTAAATTGGCGAAACCGCTGGGAGGGTTCACCGCTGATGAGCCAAGCCCTCCCAATATATTTTTTCATCGCAGTAAGGACAGTAGAAGTTTGTATTATGTATAAAAGAAACATTCGTGCTTTTAAATCCTTTCATTTTATATGTATAGATGGCGCGTTATTGCTTTGTGTAAATTTAAAATTGTTAAATTACATATCAATTTTAAAATTTCAGTTGTAAATATCCACGCTGTATGTTTTTGTAAATATTTATTGTAAGATATAGTCGATGTTTTATTAACCCCGTTGAAGAGCGATCATCGCTTGAAAGTTAGCGTTTTGCAATAAAGAGAAACTCATTGTGAGAAAATATTTTGTCATTTTAAAATGTTGTGATTTGTTATAGATCTACTATCCATGTATTATGACAGTTTTATAGAATTAATCAAACCATATTTACAAAACAGTGTGACATCGATGGAATTAGACTGAAATACACAATTATAATATAATTAATTTAATGATGAAAAGTAATAAATATTATTTCGATGCACTAGCGCGCCATCTGTTATCAAATTACAAAACTATTTTAGACGCGTAATATTCTTTTTTAAAATAAAACAATTTCTACTGCCCTTACTGCAATGGAAAAATTAAAGGGAGGGATACAATTATAAAGGCACTGATGAGTCAGGCCCTCCCTTTAATTTTTCCATTGCAGTAAGGGCAGTAGAAATTATTTTATTTTAAAAAGAATATTACGCGTCTAAAATAGTTTTGTAATTTGATAATAAATATTATGTTAGTACACGTTTTTTCTTAATTGACAAAAAAAGTTCCCTTTATTCCCGTCAAAACTAGATGTTTTTGATGGTTTGCGCCATCTATCGGGATAAATGAAGAACTTTGCTACACATATACAATTATATCTTTAATTAAAAATACATTTTTGGATTATTTTATTGGATGGGTTTCATTTTCCTTTCATTACTCTTCACAATTCATCCTTTCATACTTCATCCCAAAGGATAGGAATAGTCGTTATTTCTCCTTCTTCTTCTTTCTTATCTACACTCAATCATATTAGGATATCAAGTTGTGAACCTTGATGGTGTCTGTTTGACAACCATCATGACTGGATGAAGTAGAATGCGTCTGCCTTTGTCATTAAGACTGGGAGCACTACTCAGTGGCAGGACAACTTAGCTCCAAAAGAAATGGCCGCCGCTGACATGAGGAACAGACACCATGTGTAGCTGCTCCTAACATGGAGTACAAACGCTGCTCATCCTGTATCCCTGGATTAGGAGCCCTTACAGGGTACTATCAGCCAGGCCAGGTTTTTTAGCGAGCTTGTTACTGCTCCCCCTCCTCCTTTTTCATCTGAGCTTGGGACCGGCAAAGGCGGAGTTTTATTTCTCCTTAAATAATTAAAATTGCGATTTTTCATTCTGTAAAAAGAAACATTTATGGTAAAATTTGTTAAACGTCGTTATATATTGGATAAATATAATTTCAATACAACTATATATTTTTAATTAAAAAGTCATATATTGGATCAAAATATCATTTATTTTACCAATATTTCAGTTGGCTGAACGCCAACCTTTATCAAGGTGTTATAACATTTTAATGTGTAAAACAACACTTGAAGTTACACCGCATGAGTTTCTTTTAAACGAAAAATCAAAATTTTATTTCAAGGTGAAATATTGACTATTTATAACCTTTTTGGATGAGGTATGAAAGGGTGAATTATGAAGAGTAATGATGAAACGGAAAAATAAAAGTGTCCAGGGATGGGAATCCCATCCCATCCAAAAAGGTTAGAAATAGTCAATATTTCACCTTGAAATAAATTTTGATTTTTCATTGAAAAGAAACTCATGAGGTGTAACTTCAAGTGTTGTTTTACAATCACAAGCCGCAGTGTGTATTATAACATATTAATATGTGTCAATAATAAACTCAGCGCCATATAACGTCAATAGAATTAAGTTTGACGTTATGTGGCGCTGAGTTAATATTGATACACATTAATATGTTATAATACCTTGAAAAAGGTTGGCGTTCAGCCAACTGAAATATTGGTAAAATAAATGATATTTTGATCCAATATATGCCCTTTTAATTAAAAATTTATTTATGGATTGCTCTAGTAGTATTGCGGTTCCGGGCTAATTGGCCTATCAAGTAAAGTCTTCTAAAATGGATTGCTCTATTTTCAAAACAACTATTTATTTATTTCCCTACATTGTTTATCTACCCTTTATTTACTCCTTTATTATTCTTTATTTAATCTTTATTTCTTTGTGTAACACTCTTGATTAAAAGAATCAATCATTGTTTAAATCGTCTATCAGAATAAATATCAAAAAATTACAAATTTTTAAAAAATCCACAAAATTTTAGCCGACAATTTTTCATGATAAATCAAGAAAAAATATTTTCTCTTTTATTTAAAAAAAAATCTATATTTTTGTATAAAAATAATTCACCATCCACATAAACAAACAATGTGTTTATAAATGTATTTCCATCTATAAATTGTGGACAAAAAGGCCTATTTATAAGAATATAATCGTTTTATTTGTATGCAAATATCAGACGTACTCAAATTGTAAGTATTATATAAATTTACTGTCTTTTTGTTGTTTTTGTGTAATGTATGAAGATAGATATGTAAAATAAGTTAGGATATAAGGAAAATTTTTGATTAATAAAGATCAGTGTGAAAGTGAGACTGGTCTCGGGGTGTTTTACTGAACCTCCAGTTTGAAATTGTCTCCACGTGGTCTCTCAATATCTGATAGGCAACTAGAGCAGACAGTCCTTACCGCTCCAAGACCTATATTGATATTGCCACGTGGAAAATTAGGGAAGACAAAAACTTCAGGAGGAGACAACAATTTATTTCAGGCAAGGACAAACTATGAATTGTAAACAAAAGATAAGCCACGAGGGAAATTTACAGAGTCGCCAGATATAAACATAAAAATGACCACTCTATTAATAAAAAAAAATAATAAAAATTAATAAATACTGTGTTGCAATATTAACATATCACAGACGCTACTGACTCTGCATCTTCTGATAAAAAGGCGAGCAGCCGAAGAAGTTCTGGCGCCATTCCCTCCCTCCCCCCTCTCTCTCTATTCCCCATCAGACGACTATCGGTGTCCAGAAACAGCAGACGACGTTGCTATCTATAACTCTCGTCTGTCCCCCTAAATATTTCCCCGGTCGCTAGTTCATCTTGAAATAGTTCAGCTTTGATGGATGCGTGGGACAATGTTGAGATCCTATCTCTAATACCTAACAAAGTTCAATATTCAAGGTAAAAAAAAAAAGTTAAAAACTACAAAAAAACTCTCACAATTAGTTAATTTTCCTCCAACTCTGAAAGATATTTAATACACAATGACCTTTCTTTATTATACACAAGATAACCAAGTGTGAACAAAATTGTCTGCAATATAATATAATGCGGCTTGTGATTGTAAAACGACATTTGAAAATTATCCCGCATGTGTTTCTTTTGAACGAAAAATCAAAATTTATTTTAACGAGAAATAACGACTATTTCTAACCTTATGGATGAGGTATGAAAGAATGAATTGTGAAGAGTATTGATAAACGGAAAAATAAAAAATTGTCTGTGTCTCCTTCAAAAATAAATAAATAAGTAAACGACCGACGTTATCAAAGACTTTCCACTTCCTTAAGTTTTGTCATGAGTGTATACTTATAAGAGGGGTCCCCGTTTATTTTTGAAGCTATAATATATAAAAAATTAAACAGTTTTTTTCTACAGTTATAATAATTATAAAGAATTTTCACACATTGAGTTTATTTGTAATTAGAAATGTTAGCTTTCAAGGTAAAAATTTCTCTCCAACAGACTTGAATAAAAATATTAATTATTTATAACTAAGCCTGTTTTGAAAATCGTGTTAAATTGTGAAAAACCTTTACAATTTTAATTACACCTTTCACACTTTAACACACAAAGCACAAATAGAAATGTTTACTGTCCTTACTGCGATGATTAAAAATATTGAAAGGGCTTAGCTCATCAATGGTGAACCCACCCAGCGGTTTCGCCAGTTTAATCTACTCTAATACAACAACAACAACAAACAGCTTCATTAAGGTCTTAAGTCTTGTTAGGATTCGCTGTACATCAGTACTTATTGAAGAATAAACAATGAAACATATTTACATAATTATATAATATTGGATCAAAATATCATTTATTTTACCAATATTTCAGTTAGCTGAATGCCAGCCTTTATCAAGGTGTTATAACATTATAATACAATATAATACACTGCGGCCTGTGATTGTAAAACGACACTTGAAGTTACACCGCATGAGTTTCTTTTTAACGAAAATTATTTTTTTTTTTTATTTCAAGGTGAAATATCGACTATTTCTAACCTTTTTGGATGAGGTATGAAAGGATGAATTATGAAGAGTAATGACGAACGGAAAATAAAAGTGTCCAGGGATGGGAATCGAACCCACAATGTTCCGCTTACCGGGCAGATGCCATGTCCACTAAGCTACCCTGGACGTATTTCTCCGTTCGTAAATGATACATAAAGTAACTTATAATACAATATAATACACTGCGGCCTGTGATTGTAGCCTGTGATTGTTGAAGCTCAACAACAAACTCAACAATTTTTTTTCTCCCTATTGTATATAAGCAAAACTATTTTAAAACTTAATTCTATTGACGTTATGTGGCGCTGAGTTTGTTGTTGACACACTTTAATATGTTATAATACCTTGATAAAGGTTGGCGTTCAGCTAACTGAAATATTGGTAAAATAAATGATATTTTGATCCAATATATGTCTTTTTATTTAAAGATTTAGTTATGGATTGCTCTATTTTAAAAATTAAATAATAATTTAATAAATTGGCGAAACCGCTGGAAGGGTTCACCACTGATGAGTCAAGACCTCCCAATATTTTTTCATCGCACAGTAAGGACAGTGGAAGTTTGATTGATGTGAAAAAGAAACATTTGTGTATTAATGTTTCCATTTTTTGTATATAGATGTCGCGTTATTGCTTTGTATTAATTAAGAGTACAACATAAAGTTGCGGAAGGATGATATTCATGTATCTAAAGAGGCACCTCTCCCTTTAAAACTGGTGTTGTGGATCATTCTTTGTCATCACTAGTGAAGGTTTTTACTGGGGTGAAAACAGATCAAAGGCTAATACATAACCTAATGGTTCTGATATGGTAAACAATGTCTTGATATCAAAACATGATATCATAATCTGTCTTAATCCTCCCAGTGTCAATTTAACCCATCAAATCTACACCACAATCACAAGGTAATAAGACCAAATCCAAATAAATAAATAGTGTGTGACGTTTCGGTAACAACGCTGTTCATTCAGTACTTTTGTCTGAAGATGGTAACAACGTTGTTACTGAAACGTCACACACTATTTATTTATTTGGATTTGGTCTTATTACCTTGTGTTTATAATCTATAATCCAAATTGTACCTTATCTACACCACAATGAATAATGTCATCAATATGAAAATACTGTTTTTTTTTATTATCCCTAGTACACGTGGTACAGGCCATGATAATCATGGTGGGTAGTTAGCGACTGCTCTTACTGTAAGTGCACCACATGTCTACACATGTGAAAGTAGTTCGAATTTTGCACTTACAAATGTGCCATAGCCCTGTTTGGTTACTTGCACTCGCTGGTGGGGTTGGACTTTTGCAAGAATCGAGGGGCGATTGGAGCTTTTTTTGTTGTTGTTGTTTTAAATCAGAAAAAAAAGGTCCAATGTGGGAATCGAACCTGGGTCGTAGTGGTCGAAAACCAACAGTTTAGACCATCCTTCCACCGACCCCGAGTTTAGTTTTTCAAAATTTTATAATCCCGTTCTTCAGCTGAGGAATTTTTGCATAAGACGAAAGATTATAGTGCAGGCTTATGTAGACATGTATATCATATGTAAATACCAATGCTTACAATCATGGATAAAATTTAAGGAAGTGGAAAGTCTTTGATGTCACTGGTCGTCTGTAGCCACTGTGGCCAGATGAAACGTCGATAAAAAATAAAGATAATTTTTACTGACCGAGGTATCAATTTGTTACACAAAACATATTTTTAGAAGACGGTTTGAAATAAGAGAATAGGTCACCTCTCCCTTTAAAACACTAAAACTAAGCGCCATCTTCACTCATGAACAAAACTTAAGGAAGTGGAAAGGCTTTGATATCACCGGTCGGCAATTTTTTTTTTTTCGAAGGAGACAGAGGCAATATTGTTCACACTTGGTTATCTCGTGTGTCTTCAATAAAGGCCACTGTAATATCTTTCAGAGTTATTGTCTGAATCCCGATATACATGCTGAAAGGCACAACTTCCTTAAGTTTTGTCCATGAGTGTATATACCATTGTCTTCAATAAAGGTCACTGTACATCAAATATCTTTCAGAGTTATTGTCTGAATCCCGATATACATGCTGAAAGGTACAACTTCCTTAAGGTTTGTCCATGAGTGTATATACCATTGTATTCAATAAAGATCACTGTAATATATTTCAGCGTTATTGTCTGAATCCCGATATACATGCTAAAAAGTACAACTTCCTTTTGTCCATGAGTGTATATATCATTGTCTTCAATAAAGGTCACTGTAATGTATTTCAGCGTTATTGTCTGAATCCCGATATACATGCTAAAAAGTACAACTTCCTTTTGTCCATGAGTGTATATATCATTGTCTTCAATAAAGGTCACTGTACTGTATTTCAGCGTTATTATCTGAATCCCGATATACATGCTAAAAAGTACAACTTCCTTTTGTCCATGAGTGTATATACCATTGTCTTCAATAAAGGTCACTGTAATGTATTTCAGCGTTATTGTCTGAATCCCGATATACATGCTAAAAAGTACAACTTACTTTTGTCCATGAGTGTATATACCATTGTCTTCAATAAAGGTCACTGTAATGTATTTCAGCGTTATTGTCTGAATCCCGATATACATGCTAAAAAGTACAACTTCCTTTTGTCCATGAGTGTATATACCATTGTCTTCAATAAAGGTCACTGTAATATCTTTCAGAGTTATTGTCTGAATCCCGATATACATGGTAAAAAGTACAACTTCCTTTTGTCCATGAGTATATATTTCAATATTACTATTAAATGTAATTAACTTTTATACTTTAATAATAAGTATTCTTTTTATTTGAAGAATCCGTAGTAAAACTATGTATAAACCTATATGGTCTTATAGATGGAAACATTTTTGCCACAGGAGGCTATTCATCTATAAAGATAAAGATAATCTCTCCCGTCAAAATAAACGTCAAAACCAGACGCCATCTACCGCAAATTGACCGTCACCGACCCGAGTCTGCTAGTTTGCAGCGACGGTTAATAGATGATGTCTAGTTTTGACGTCTATTTTGACGGGAGAGGCGACATTTATCTTTATATATGGTCTTAATGAAGACGTTTGTTTGTGAATCACTTGTCAACTATCTATCTATGGTGGTGTCAAAATGGTTCTATTGATCGGCTTTCTAAATATAGAAGATGTGTTATAACCCCGCAGTTTATTGAATTGTCCCCATGACGAATTGTAAGGTCTTCCCCATTAAAGAAACATGGCTTATTTCCTAACTTCCCCATATTTTTTTTCCTTCTCTCGTGGGAGCAATGAAAGAAAAAAAAGGCACTTTCTCATTTCAGTCTATTGATCTTGTAACCTAGGTAAAAATTCAATAGTGGTCACGTGACTTCATTCGACCAATGGCAGAAGTAAAAGATACGTGGTCATCTATCAGTGAAAAAACTTCCTTTTTTTTTAATATTTGACCATGAACGCTGTGATTTCACCTTTCCTTTTTTTTCCCCGAATTTTTAAAAAATAATCTTTAATAAAAATATGTTTTTTTTTATAATATTTTTTATTATGATGCACTAGCGCGCCATCTTTTATGAAAATTCGAAACTATTTTAAACGCGTATGATTCTTTTTGAAATTAAACAATTATCTACTGCCCCCTTACTGCAATGGAAAAATTAATGGGAGGGCCTGACTCATCAGTGGTGAACCCTCCCAGCGGTTTCGGCAGTTTAAATGATAAAAATTGGTAGATTAAACTAGCGAAATCGCTGATGAGCCAGGCCTTCCCATTTCTTTTTCCATTGCAGTAAGGGCAGTAGAAATTATTTAATTTCAAAAAGAATCTTACGCGTCTAAAATAGTTTCGAATTTTCATGATATTTTTGTTCAATTTGTGTAACTATATAACACATTTTTGAAGATTATTTGTTGGTTGAAAGTTTATTTGGAAAACGATATAGCTTCATCAACCAGTTATTTATTTAGTTTGTGACGTTTCAGTCACTCTCCTCAGGAGGGGTCGGTGGAAGGCTGGTTTAACCGTTTGGTTTTCGAAAACTACGACTCGGGTTCGATTCCCGCATTGGACACTTTTTTTTCTGATTTAAAACAAAAAACAAAAAAAAAATGCTCCAATCGCTCCCGATTCTTGCAAAAGTCCAACCCCACCAGCGAGTGAAAGTAACCAAACGGGGCTCTGGCACATTTGTAAGTGCAAAGTCGAGACATGTGATGCGCTTACAGTAAAAGCAGTCGCTAACTACCCACCATGATTATCATGGCCTGTACCACGTGTACTTAGGGATTAGTAAAAAAAAAAACTCTCCTCAGAATCATTTCCCTGAGTAACAGTGAGTTACTGAAACACCTGACACTAAATAAAAAAATGATTGATATAGCTAATGATCTAAATCCCGATATACCTTCTAAAAAATACAACTTCCTTTTATCAATGAGTGTATATACCTATTTTAGACACGTATGATTCTTTTTGACAATAAGCAATTTCTACTGCCCTTACTGCAATGGAAAAATTAATGGAAGGGCCTGGCTCATCAGTGGTGAACCCTCCCAGCGGTTTCGCCAGTTTAATCTACCATACCGTTGTTATATTGTATTTTTCGATCTTCCTTTTATAGTGATACTGATGCTAGACACTTGAAAAGGGTATTTTAAATGAACTATCGACATAAGCTTTGAGGACAGTAGAATTACATATAATTATAAATATATAATACTAGCCGAATGACCCGGGCAACGCCCGTGTTTTACTCGATTGAATGTTTTTATTCAAATACTATTTGTTACAATTATAAATTGGCGCCTTAAATAAATGCATATATTAGTTAATAACTATAGCCTATGTGCTTTATCTGTCTATGTACTGTTGGCTTCCGTAGGCGTCTCTTACTGGGTAAAAGAAAGAGAGGATTCCATTTAGTTATTAACTAATATATGCATTTATTTAAGGAGCGACCCGCTCCAACACAATAGTTACAAAAACAACAAAGCGAGTGGGGGGGGGGGGGCATGATGGGGGGCAAAGGTAGCGTGATCGTAGCCAACCAATAGGAGAGCGCCATTCCAAAAAAAAAAAAAAGCAAACGGTGACAGAGATGAAAAAGAATTGATGACGCTCGTAACTGTATATAGAATGCTTCGA